CCCAAATGTCACAGAAGACCTTGGAGAAGAGTCCAACACGTGGGTTGTAGAAGAGGTAGAATGGAGTCCCAGCAGCAGGTCACAGAGGTGTCTAAGGTGGGGGAGTGCAGGCCTTCAAGGACTCTGGTGAAGTGTCCAGTCTTTTTGTGTCCTGTCCTCAAATGTGTGTGCGTGTCTGTGTGTGCACAGTCCCTGAGCATGTTCCCATTGTTACATTGGCCATAATGTAGTGAAAAACACATATTCCATCAGATGAATATGAGCTTTTCGTGTCTGCTCTTAACACTGAGCCCTGAAGAGGTCCTTGGGCATAGTAGATGCTCAGTCAAAAACAAACAAGCAACCCCAAACCCTGAAAAACTGAGTGCCACTGGGACCTGTACCCCTCGTAAGTTTTGCTTTGGACCAATTTTATTTTCATTTCCTGGTGGTTTGAATTGCATCATGTTAGATTATTGAACCTTTTTAGCCTTTTGTTTTTGTGACAGAGTCAAATATTCACTGACACGTGTACATCTTTAAGCCCATGCAGAAGGATAATAGCAGCCTTGCTTCAGTGGCCACACCTTCCAGGAAACCCTTTAGCCTGCCCCCTTGTCTTTGCTGATCCCTCTGCCATCCCCTTGCAGAAGGAACTTGGAGTCTCTCAGCTCAGCTGGACTAGATGAATCTTCTCAGGGTCCTCTTATCCCACCTCCCAGTTCCTTCCCCCAATCTCTCCCTCCCTGCTCTGCGAAATCAGGGAAGCTGCAAACCCAACCCTTACATCAAAAGGGAACTTGAAAAATACTTGGAGCAAAAACTGCTAACTGTGCATCCTTGCTTTATGCAGGCGCTGATATTAAATCAGGAAATGGCACTGAACAGCCTCTCCAAACACAGAAACAGGGCATGTCAACACAGCAACCAAAAGCAATCTCTAACAGGCAGAGGGGAAAGGGACCTGGCACAGGGCCGGGAAGGGGGCTGCAGCCCAGGAAAGAATTCCTGGCTGAATGTGTCTGTGCCACCTCTCCAGTGTCCCAAATGAAGTGTGGGTCTCAGTCCCTGGCATGGAATGCGCCTTGTCTCCATGAGAGATTAAACATAATTAAGCATGTTGCTTAAATACCTTTGAGAGTCTCCTTTTTATTGCCATAAATGTTTACTGAGCACACAGTATGTGCCTGTCAGTCCACCAAAAAAGATGCCATCCCATGTGGAGATGACCTTCTAGCCCTCAGGACAGAACTCTGACTCTTTGGCATGGCATTTCAAGACCCTTTAAGTACTGGCTCCTGCAGAAGTCTTCAGCTCTGTCTCCAGACTCCCTGAAATAGCTCCCAAGTGCATGAGGCAGTGCCTTTGCTCCATGCCTTTGCTTGGACCAGTCCTACCATTAGTTCTTCCTGTATTTCAAATTTTTGCTCAGCTTTCAAAGCCTTGACAAATTTCTGCTCAGCCTTCAAAGTCTTAACCAAGTGTCACCTTTTCTCTGCAGCATTTTCTGCCACCCTCCCCATTTCCTCCAATAGAACCAGGGGTCATTACTGTGGACATGCTGCCATCACACCTTTCATGTCACAGTGGGAAGGTTTGCAGTGTCTTGGAAGGGAGGAAAAAAGCCATGTTCACTCCTGAACCCTCGTCTCCCAGCACTGGTTATAAAATTGAAACAAAAAAGAAAAACCTTGGTGAAATTCATTGTTGGTATGGCTGTGGGGAAACAGATTTTCCGTTTCTGATAGTAAATTAAATAGGTTCCATCTTGTTAGAGGCTAATTTGACAGTATTAACACAGAAAATACACACATCTTTCAACCCAGCAATTTTATTTTTTGCTTTCTGCACATGGCCAGAAAGGCGCATGTAAAAAGCTGTGAGTTGCATCATTGTTTGCAATAGCAAAAGATTAGAAATAGCTTAAATGTCCATCAATACAGCTTGGATAAAAAGCTATAGGGCATCCATTGGACAGAATGCTATGCATTAGTTAAAAAGAAGTAAGTCTCCCCGTATTGACACAGCATTTGCTGAGTAAAAAAATCAAAAGCAAGCTGTAGCTCTAGACAGAGATGTTAAAACTACCTTGTTGCGTTTTTTCACAATGAAAAAGCAATCTTCTGTAATTTGTTTTAAAAAGAGATTGAATGACCACAGCAGCTCCTGGCTGAGTGGAGCTTGGGTTTTGGCACAGCCAATCTGCATTATTTCCTCTACCACCTACCCAGGTACAGGTATCATCTACCTCTCCTGTACCTGGGAATTTTGCGCTCCGTGTGGTGGTGAGCATGTAGTGGGAAGCTGGGATCCTGGGTCCTTGAAGTGCGTCCAGACAAAGGAAGAAGAAAGTGAAAGCAGGGAGGCCCCGAGGGGTGGGATGACTCAAATCATGCAAATTTCCTGAGTTGGTCGTTGGCCTCCAGAGGAAGAAGGAAGGATTGGTTCAGGAATGACTGTTAAGGAAGGGAGAGGAGGGGGCTGGAGGGTATACAGAAAAGGCCTGAAAATTCAGAGACCTTACTCTGTAAGGAAGTATCAGCCTTTGCTTAGTTGTTAATTTCATTTATTCATTCATTTATTCCTGTAATTGAGTTCCTCTTGAATGGGCATTGCACTGGCTGCTGAGGACACTCCACCTCCTGGAGACTTCCTCTGGGAGCTCATGATCAAATTCTACCTAGTTTCTCAAAGCGTGTTTCTTGGACTCCATGCATCAGAATCACCTAGGAAATTTCTTAAAATGCAGATTCTTGGGCTCTACTCAGACCTATAAAATCAGACTGTGGCTTACAAATTTGTGTTTGTAACCCATTTCCTTAACTGTAAAACATTTGGACTAGCTGATCAAACCATTTCCTTGAACATTCCTATGTTATTTCCTAAGGCCTCTCCCAAACCTGAGGTCTACTCTGATCCAGGCTAAAGAAGAATGGGATGGAGGTACAAGCTTTGCCCTATATAGACCCCAGTGTGTGGGATTTCCCTAGAATGACAAGGACCTTGTCCTTGCTAATAGGCTTTTTACCCTACTCCCATCCCCAGTTACAATCAAGTCCCTCCAAGGCCTGGGAAGATCTATGGACCATGTCTTCTGTCTAAGTTCTTCAAAAACAAGAGAAGGACTCATTGTAAGCAGGGGGATGGCATGTGCAAAGGTCCTGTGGCAGAACACAGCTTGGGCTGTGGAAGAACTTAAATAAATCAGTGTGCCTGGAGCATTGTGATGAGGGATGCAGCAAGAAGAGGTGGAAGAGGATAATAAGGATAGACCATCCATGGCCTGAAGGCTATGCCTAGGAATTTGGTTCTTTTTCCAAGTGTTAAAGTGATTTGTATTTAAGCCAGGGGGTTGGCAAGGGGAATGGCCAGATTCATATAAAAACTGGCTCTGTTGCCCTGTGGAGAAACAGAAAGGCTATAGCCGAAGGCTTTGTAGTCCTCTAAGCAAAAGATAAGGGTGGCTTGGATGAAGGTTAAGGTACTAGACGAAGAACCAGAGAGATCTGGTGGAAGGATAAATAGGCGATAGTTGGACTATGGGAGGTGAGAGCCTCAGCCCTGGGGAGCAATAATGAGGTTTCAGAATTTCTGCCACTGGCTCTGGGGTCATGGTGGGGGAGGTGAGTGGGAAGGGATCTGTCCTTGTTATAAATTCACTGGACAGTGGCTTTGAGTAGCATTGAGCTTCTCATCAGCACTGAACCATCTCTCCCCGCTTTTTCTCTCTGTCTCTTTCCTTTGATATTTAGGGATATATGAATTGGGGCTGAAGGTCAAACTCAGACCAGAGGAAGGATCAAGGATCAGAAACCAGGCTGAGGCCAAGGGTAAAGGATGGGATGAGAGGACTATGCAAAATTGTTCTCCTTTGGCTGGTACCCCTGCCTTCATTTCTCTCCAGCCCCACACAGTCAGGGAAGAGAAAAGGGAAAGAAAAGTTTGAGTGCCGCTGACAAGAAGGCACATTAAACACTGCCCTCATAAGTGAATCCTTGGCAGGGACTTGGCACTCACTTGGTAAAGGTTCAGCCGTTACCTGAGCAGAGTCACCAATCCTGTGGACAGCTGAAAATCCTGACCCAGAGAATAGCTGGGGAAGCACCTCACTGACACCAGAATTCCCAGGATGCTACTCAGTTGAGACAGAGATCACACACTTCATAGTATTCAGAGCACTGGACTTGGGACCAGAAGTTCCAGCTCATCACTGCTGTATAAGCGTAAAGAAATCATTTAGCCTCTCGAGCCTCATTCTTTGTGTAAGATGGAGATAATCCTACTCATCTTACAGGGCAGTTGTGATGAATGAATGAGTTGAAATGCATGATGCTCTTAAGACACTGTGATATACCTGCATCCTCTCTGCCTACCTATCTCTGTAAAATAAGGATAATAATAGTTGCTACTTCACAGAGTTGGGAGAGTTGAGTGAAAAGGTGAATGATAGAGGCTGAGGTGGGTGGATCATCTGAGGTCAGGAGTTGGAGACCAGCCTGGCCAACATGGTGAAACCCCATCTCTACTGAAAATACAAAAACTAGCGAAGTGTGACGGCATGCACCTGTAATTTTACCTCCTTGGGAGGCTGAGGCAGGAGAGTTGCCTGAACCCAGGAGGTGGAGGTTGCATTGAGCCAGATTACACCACTGTACTTCAGGCTGCAGCCTGGGTGACAGAGTGAGACTCTATCTCAAAAAACAAAATAAAACAAACAAAAACAAACAACAACAACAAACAGCAAAAAGGTGAATGACAAAAGGCTTTGCAACTCCCTGTACAAATGAGGGTGACTATTATCAAATATCCCATCTGTACTGGAGGCAATGCTGTCTATCTAATGCAGCCTTGTCCAACAGAAATAGAATGTAAGCCAAATATGTACAATTATTTATTGGTTACATTAAAACACAGTAAAAAGAAACAGTGAAATAGTTTTAATAATAAATTCCTATGGGGGGAGGGAGAGAGAGCGAGTGCTTGTGTGCACATTCCTGCATATATTGGGGCATTATCCCTGGTCCCCTGGGGAGGCAGCCAGGATATTCACAGTCAGTGTAAATCTAGCTTTCTATTGGGACTTTCTAAATCTCTGGGTTGCCTAAAGACCACCAGGACCCAGAAAGCCAAGAATACCTTTTTGGGAGCACTGGGTTGGAATCTGACAGTGGTTGTATGGGGCAAGGGAAAGTGGAAGTGACAGCTGCCTTTGGGAAAAGGAAGAGGAAGAGGAAGAGGAAGGACAAGAAGCAAAAACAACCCCCCCCCCCAGAAAACCCTCCTGTCTCTTCTTGGGAGCCATAGACTTTGACAACAACTTCCCTGCAGATCCCACGGAATGGGAGCAACAGCATATCTTTCCACGTAGCCTCACACAAGGTGGCAGAGACCTCAGGGCTCCTTGGAAAAGACGGGTGATACTACATCTGGGTGATGCAAAAGCGTAAGTCAGGCTCCTGCCGCCGGTGGGAGGCGCGGGGGGCGGGGGCGGTGTCCCCTGATTCAGGACCCTCCCTAGCAGAACTTGCCTCTGGGGCCCTTGAGACCACTGGCTTCTGCTTAGTGACTCCGCATAGTATAATCCAGTAACTCACCGAGCTTTGAGGCTGGAAGTTTACCGCTCCCGCATCCCGCGTGCTGCTGCGCCTCTCCACACACACGCGCGCGCAAACACACACACACACGCGCGCAAACACACACACACACACACACACACACACACGAACATACCCCTCCCGCATGCCTCCAACAGCACCCATGCGTGCACAGAGACGCCTCCTCAGTCAACAACCACCTGCAACCCGCAGGGAAAGGACGGGTGAACCGTGCACCTTCGGGCTGAATGTGGATGCCAGGAGTGCCGCTCTGATTTGCAGGCACATGGGAGGGAGCGCCGCCGGGCCTCTCTGGAGTTATCCCCTTAGCTGAGTAGAGGCCTGAGAGGGCAACACGGCGAACTTCATACCTGGCGGCTGGCTGTGGGCTCCGCATTCTCTTAGGGAATAAACTCTTCCCCTACTTTTACCCCGAATGCGCCAAGGCTCTGCGGCGGCTTGGACCCTGCAGAGTTTCCTCCATCACCATTTGTAACTAACGAATCTTGAGGAGGTGCGACCCAGAGGCACAGCCCCTGGTCCAACCTGGGGTGGATAGAGAGGAGGTAGCTTTTGGGTGAACACCTTAAATTGGAGTTTTAGCAGCTAGAGATAACAAGGTGTTCACTAGAGCTGCCGTGGCTGCTGCAAAATCCCAGACTTCCCTTGATTGTGCCTTGGGACTCCACACACCGCTCCGCTCCGTGTCTCCTGGCCTCTCTTTACTCCTCATCGACGCTTCACTTCTTCTGCTAACCCTTCTGTTTTATTCTTTCAGCGTGTTGGACTTCCAGTCAATGGGTATACAGCAGCAATCCCCTACCCTCCTCACCTCGACCCTGCCTATATTTTAGGGATGGGGTGAAAACTCCGGGTACTGCTGTGTAACCGTGACTGGGAGCCCGGAATGCAGATTCAGAGACCCCAGAGATGAGAAGTGGTATCCCACGATGGCAGTCGGGAGCAGGAGGCCAGAGGGCCTGGGGCTCTAAGACCCTGCTGCTCAGCGCAGCAGTAACCGGGATGGGGGAGGCTGGGCCATGAAGTGGGGTAGGCTACGCAATAGCAGCCTTCACTCTGCGGCCACCGGTGTGTCTCCATCATTTACCCAGTATGGCAGGGGTAGGGCTGTTTCCAACATTTTTTGGTGGGGGAGTTTGGGGGTGGGGTGTTTAGAGAAGGGAGTGGCTAAGTTGGGAGAGGGGCAGAGAAACGGATTTGGGTGGGGAGGTGAGCCTGGGGATGGACAGAGATACCTCAAAGCCCAGGCGAAGGGAGTGACCACAACAGAGACAGAGGCACAGGGACAAAGATGAGCACGCTTTCCCAGACAAAGCCCGCGTCCAAGAGACCCTGAGACAGAGGCAGACTGCTAGAAGGAGAACAGGAGGTCCGGAACCGCAGACCTGGGGCCTCAGGAATCCCCAGGGCCTCAGTGGGCCACATTCCTGAGACTCGGGTCTCGGTCCTCGATGGCAAGTGTTAGGCAGAGCCAAGGGGAGGCGCGGGCCAGGGTGAAGTGGGTCACAGCTAGGCTTGTCCGCCTTGGTGCCCACGCAGAGGTCCACAGCGGCAGAAACACTCTGGGAGCCAAGGGTCTCTTAGGGCCCTAAGGGAGGGCGCTGCCGGCTCTAGTTCAGTCGGGACCAACGGAGTCCGGCGTGCTCGTCCTGCCCTGGCCGCCTGAGGCCGGAGCTATGCGTAGTCTGCACAGACCGGAGAGAGACACCCATTCCGGAGTGGTCTGTAAACGTTCTCCACTGAGCCACGGTCTGAATGTGCTCTCACTGCGTGCAAACAAGACCGGGACATTTACCAGGTGCGAGTCCCCAACCCCCAGTTTCTGGCAGGGGTGGTGCGGCAGCACGGCCCAGGCTGTCTCTCCAGGCAGCCGACTCATTTCTGAGGAGAGCACGCTTCTCAAAGAGGGTTGTAGACTCACGCTTCCAGCATTTAAGTTGCCACCCCATAAGACTGAGTTCAAGTTTTAGTTAAGATACACTCATTTTATTAAAAATAGGCTGCTCAAGACCACGCTGTACCCCCAGCCTCCCTGAGGGCGCAAGAGAATAGAGGGGTTTCAGATTAATTGATGGCAAGTATTTTACCTTCTAACACTTAAAAATAATCTGGGCGCGTCCGCACTGGTGTGGCTCACGCGACCCCTAAGCGCGGCGTCAGTCGGGCTGGTCCAGCGCAGACAGCGGCCGGGACTCACTCACCCAGTGCGTGCCTCTCCGGCCTTTCGCTGCGCGCGCCCCAAACTGGAAAGCAGAAGGCGACGCGGGAGGCGGGTCGGGTCTCCGGGTCCAGCGAATTCGCGATCTATCCGGTTTCCGCGCCTGAGCAGAGGTCTCAGGAAGAACCCGTTAACTCTGGCCATCCTGGATCTGCGTAGGGAGGGTGCGCGGTGCCCAAATCTGGTTTGGATGCCTAGGGCGGTGCGCTTCGGTCTCCCCGTCTGCGCTTCGGGGAGGTTTCTCACCCGGCAGCCCTGGGCCCCTTCATTGTGGCGTTTCCACTTTTGGCTACCGGCCCTCCTCCTCCCAGGGCCTTCTGGCACAGGGAGCAGCCGACGGGCACCCCCAAACGCTGGGGCACGGAATTTCAACAGGAGTGACCAGGGCAGAGCTCGCGGCTCACGGCTGAGTACGAAGACCCGAGGGCCGGTATATGGCTCGAGGGGAACCTGTCCTGGGCTCCAGTGCACACACAGCTTGCGTTCTGGGTTGGCTTGGGTTGGTCCAGGTAGGGGAGACCTGGCTGGGTCCGAGGCGCGTCCAAGCCTTCTGGCAGTGGACCCGGCAGTCGCGGCGCCTTTGCGCACAGTGGCCACTTGGGGTCGCACTTTATGCCTGTTTGAGCCTCTCCGCGGCGGGCTGACGCCGGGATCTGCTTAATCGTTACAAAACGTTCAAACAAAAACAGGGCCGGCTCTCCAGCAGCGAAGAGCGACTCGGAGCACCGTCCGGGGCAGGCTTCGGCCCGAGGCTCCGGGTGCTCAGGATTGTGGTGGGGGAAAGGAATTCAGAACCCTTGGGCTGATTCTTTTCCAGTCCCCTTCGCTGTGAGCATTGGTAGTGGGGAGGGGGTGTGTGTGTGTGTGAGTGCGGGGAGCGGCGGGGCCAGTGGAGTCGAATCTCAGGGCTCTGCCACTGCACTAGCCAGGAGGGGGATGGCCCTCTATTGGCCCGAGAAAGGTCCCCTGAGGTTAGGAGTTGGGTCTGAACTTAACTCTCGGAGCCCTAAGCCCGCCCTCCCCAACACATAAACACGCGCAGATCTCCAGAAACAAGAACGCACGGCACACACGGCCAGAAGCCACGAGGACACACAGAGCGTCGCCCACTGGGCGGGGGCCGCTTGGGAACAAAGGGCCCAGGAGGTGTAGTCCCGGCGCTCCTTCTGAGCCTCCTAGGGGGTGACACGGGCTGGGGGTGGGGTGCAAAGGGAACTGAAGGAGGAGAGTACGCGAGGAGGTGAAAGCAACGGCTTGGCCTAGAGGTGGGGCGCGCACTCCAGGCGAGCGTGCAGGGGCCGGGACCTGCAGGGTAGGGGGGTGGGCCCAGGCCTGCCGTCCCACTCCGCTCCAGTGCTCCTCCGGGCCTCCGCAGCTCCCGGGCAGCTCGGGCCGCCAGTCAGCTGACGCGGGGGGGCGGGGGAGCTGTCAGGCGCGCCCCGCCCTGCGCCGCGGGTCCGCGGAGGCCGTGCAGCCATTGGCCCGCGCGCCGGGCCTCCCGGGCCCCCGCACCCCAGTGACATCAGGAAGGCGATAAAAGGCAGCGGCGCCGCGGATCCAGCACAGCTGCACCGCCGAGCTGCGAGCGGCTGCGAGCGAGAGAGCGTAAGAGCAAGAGAGCTAGAGAGCGAGCAACGGGCACTCGCCCCACGCCTCCCCTCCGCCCCACCGCGCGCTCAGCTTGCCTCTCCACCCCACCCGACTCGACCGGGCCCGGTCCGGTGCGGGCACAGCCCCGAGCTCTGGGGTGGTGCAGGCAGCCTCGGGACTCTCCAGCGCGCCGCCGCGTCCCTAGACAAAGGCTTGGCCGGCGGCCCCGGCCCGCTGCGCCCTCGCTCCCCGCCTCCCCGGCTCCCCGCTCTTCGCCCCCGCGCTTGGCTCGGCGCGCTCCGGCCGGCCGCAAAGTTTCCCGGGCGGCAGCGGCGGCTGCGCCTCGCGTCAGCGATGGCCGCGGAGCTGAGCATGGGGCCAGAGCTGCCCACCAGCCCGCTGGCCATGGAGTATGTCAACGACTTCGACCTGCTCAAGTTCGACGTGAAGAAGGAGCCCATGGGGCGCGCCGAGCGTCCGGGCAGGCCATGCACACGCCTGCAGCCAGCCGGCTCGGTGTCCTCCACACCGCTCAGTACGCCGTGTAGCTCTGTGCCCTCATCGCCCAGCTTCAGCCCGACTGAACAGAAGACTCACCTCGAGGATCTGTACTGGATGGCGAGCAACTACCAGCAGATGAACCCCGAGGCGCTCAACCTGACGCCGGAGGATGCGGTGGAAGCGCTCATCGGCTCACACCCAGTGCCACAGCCGCTGCAAAGCTTCGACGGCTTTCGCGGTGCTCACCACCACCACCATCACCACCACCCTCACCCGCACCACGCGTACCCGGGTGCCGGCGTGGCCCACGATGAGCTGGGTCCACACGCTCACCCGCACCATCACCACCATCACCAAGCGTCGCCGCCGCCGTCCAGCGCCGCCAGCCCGGCGCAACAGCTGCCCACTAGCCACCCCGGGCCCGGGTCGCACGCGACGGCCTCTGCGACGGCGGCAGGCGGCAACGGCAGCGTGGAGGACCGCTTCTCCGACGACCAGCTCGTATCCATGTCCGTGCGC